ATCAAATATACTACTTCATATTTTGTACTACAATATATTAAAGCATTCTGATATTAAGTAATTCAACTCTTTTTTTTAAATATACTGAGAAACTTACTGTATACTACGACTAATTTGTTTAGCTAATATTCAATAATTTTGTTACTATCTAATCTGGATACTAAAAATCTATCGCCAATTTTTGAATATTGTCTAGTCTATTAAAAGGAACTTATTTAATTATATTTTCATATTTTGTGGTTATTTGATTATGTTTTAGATTCTATAGCTACTCAATTACATTTTTCTATTTTTGATTACATTTTCATATTCTGTAGCTTAAGCTGAATTTTTTCTAATATGATCATTAACTTTCTTATTTCTACTTTTCCATTTTCATGTTGTTTTCTTTTGAATATTGTCTAATCTATTAAAAGGAATCTATTTGATTATATTTTCATATCCTGTGGCTATTTGATTATATTTCAGATTCTATAGCTATTCGATTACATTTTTTTATTCTATAGCTATTCAATTACATTTTTTTATTCTATAATTCTGATTATATTTTTACATTCTGTAGCTTAAATTGAAATTTTTTAATATGAACATCGACTTTCTTATTTCCACTTTTCCATCTCCACATTGTTTTCTTTTGAAATTGTCTAATCTATTAAAAGAAACCTATTTAATTATATTTTCATATTCTGTGGCTATTGGTTACATTTCAAATTCTGTGTCTATTCGATTATATTTTCCTATTCTATAGCTAATTTGATTATATTTTTATATTTTGTAGCTTAAGTTGAAATTTTTTAATATGATCGTTAACTTTTTTATTTCCACTTTTTCACCTCCGTGTTGTTTTCTAAAGGTCACATGTTTAAAGAGCAATCACAATACTATAAACCCATGAACCAAAATAATAAAATGATTAAAATTGGGTTATATATAGTCTATACTAATTATTAATTTAATATATTAGAAACTGATGTGATTTAAAAAGAGTTGACTTTATAATATTAATGATTCACTTAAAGATATAAACAATTGCTTACCTTATTAACAACATTCTTAACTACCTTAAACCCATCAACGACTATCAGATTCAGAATGTGGGCATAATGACGTTGATATAAAAAACTTCCATTTGCAATAAGCACATCTTGTTCACTAAGTCTATGTTTTATATTAGTTATTGTGGTATCATTATTACCTGCATTGTTTAAAGTAATTGCCAATGTTTACAAAATCAATTAATATGTTAACAAATATATACTGTAAATAAAAAACTCAATTGCTTACTATTTACTCTAGATGTAATACTCCAATCGTTGAGACATTCAAAAAGTATATTACTAATCTTAATTTCTGTATGTGGCACAAGAACTGATCTAAATACTATAATTAGTTTCTGGAGAATCCAATCGTTATCAATAAAGTGACCTAATAAAGATGTGTAGAAATACAGTATAAATAATTGAATATGTAACAAAAAAAAAAGAACCTATTAATGAATATATACACGTAATGACCATGTATCTAGTATTTTGGATCGATATCCATATATTGGTAGTAAAATTTAAATTTTCAGGAGCTTTGTGTATCATCTTTTGAACTTTTATCTCAAGATTTGTAACAACTTTTTTACAATCTTCGCGTACTGTTTTTTCACCCATCACTCTGAACTGTGGCTGCAGGTTATTAATAAATTTTAAAAATCCTTGGTATTCAACTATGTGAAATGGGTATCCATGCATAACAACCATATTAGCCAAATCCTGCTAGCTTTTTTCTTGAAAAAATTTGTGAAAAAATGATAGTGTTTGTTGTTTTACTTTATTCATAAGATACTGGCTACACTTGGTGTTTTTAAGATAGCGAATCAAAAAGCTTGTTCCGCTGTTGCTATCATATTTTAGAGTATTTTGCAATATGTATCTAACAAATGATATAAATATTCACAAAAAGTTTTTTTAATATATAAAATATTAACTGTATTATATATTACTTGAAAGTTTGGTAAAGTGTTTCTTTGTAAAAACTCATGAAGGTACCCTGCCTTTATGCTTTTCAATAGTGATAAGAGTTATTTCAGAATTTTCATCCTCACTAATAGTTAGGTCGACACTTTCATCAAAAGAAATGTCCTTGCTAATAGTTAAATCGACACTTTCGTCTAAAAACATTGTTTTAGAACTTTCACTTGAACTTTTGATAATGGTTAAATCCATATTTTAAATTTTTTTTTCTTTTTTTTTTTTTATGTATTGATTTAAATATTTTCACATATTTCTATTCCCATTTGGGATGAGCGATTAATTCATGATCATTAGCTTGATGCCGAAATAAAAATTAAAGTCACAAAGATAAAGAAGATATTTTGAATTATCTTTGCAAATAAAAAAAGTGCTTTTTTATTAAATAGCGATTGTATCTGACTGACTGAAAAGTTTAACGATTTTCAGAGAAAATTATCTAGTCTAGTTTTACTTAATCAGGAGATGCACTGAAACCTTGTACATTTATGTAGTTTACTTAATTTTATACCAGTTTGATAATAAAACTTACTGTATGTATTGCAGTAATTATTATTTTTAATATGTATCATATATAGAATTATATAATAATGATTATTAATTGTTACGTATTAACTACGTAATAACGGCTTAATAATACAGTATATGGCGCAGCTAATAAAATTGCCTGATATAGGCTTTTTGGGGTTTGCAGGCTTTTTTTATAAAGCCCGGCCCGGCCCGGTATTTTAGCAGGCTCAACCCGAGCTTGGCCCATTATAATTATGGGCTTAAAAATGCTGCCGACCCCAAATTTTTGCAGATCAGGTCGGGTTCAGACCCGGGTAGCCTGGCCCAGTTATGTACTCTAGGTAGAATTAAAGTTACCAAAGCAAAGAACAAATACTTCTTTGCTATTATATAATATCTTCAAAATTATTTCATTATATTATTAAACTAAATTTTTATATATAAAAGCCAGTAATCAGTATAACTAAATCAAATAAGTTTTACTAATTAAAAAATATAAATACTTATTTACTATTATATAATACCTATCAATTACGCAGATGTACATTATTATATGCAAATGCGGTATATAATACTTTAAAATCATTTTATTTGCATCAATTATAAAGTTAGCAAATAAAGTTCATAAGCAAAGAATATAAATATTATTTACTATTATATATATTACCTTAAAATTCTTTTATTTATATTAATCATATATTTAGCTTGTAGGTATAAGGTTAGTAATTAGTAGAACTAAAATTCAAGCAAGTTTACAAATTAAGAACAAAGAATAAAGCAATCTATAGAACAAGATCAAAGACACCATTTTATCTTGTTAAAGTGAATAGTAAAATCAACCAGCTTCACTATATCAAAGTGGCTAAATGATTTGGCGACAAAGTGAAAATCTAAACCAAACTTGGATTATTCTATAGTCTAAATAGAATAGAGCAAGTTTAGAGAAATTTAAAGAATTTGAAAACTAAGAGAAACTGAAAAGCAAAGAAGGTTAATAAGAAATAGCAAACTAAAGGGAAATAATGCAAACGAGGTGACTTACTGTAAATACTAGGACTCGAAGCTAATAGAAAGCAAGCTAATCAAAGGTAAATAAAAGAAAAAGATTATCAAGCAGAAATAGTAAAATTGCTAGTTCCACAAATTAAGAATAAATAACTGTTATATTATGCACTTTAACTTGTTTTTTCGTATTTGATTATTTTATTTACTTTGTAATTATAAAGATCAGTGGAATTTAAGTCAGCAAGTAAAGTTCGTAGTGAATAATATAAATACTTATTTATCATTATGAATAGTGTCTTCAAAATTATTTTATTTAATTAATCCTACTCAGCTTGTGAATATAAAGGCTTAGAACTAGAATCAAATTTACAAATTAATATAAATATCTATTTATTGTTTCATGATACTTTCAATCATTTCCTTATTGATTTACTTAGTCTGTAACTATAAAAATTGTTTATTAGCCAGTAAATAATGTCAACAAATAATTCACAAGTAAAGAATATAAATACTTATTTGCTATTATATAATGCCCTCGAAAGCATATTTGTATTCAGCATATGAAAATAAAGATTAGTATTTGGTAAAATTAAAATTAATACTTATTTAATTCCAGGCTTTGAATATTGTGACCAAGCACTTTCCAACCTTTGGCTTGGGTTAATTAACCATTATGTAATTGTTCACTTACATTGATTATTTTGATGAGCTTGTAAATATAAAGATCATTTATTATATATAATTAATATTAGTCAAGATTAGCAAATCAAGATTAGAGTTGGAAACTAGAATGATCAGAAAAAGATCGAACTTATATGACTATTAAATCCTTTAATTTGGCTGTAATTTATAGTAATTAAGGGTGCTCTTAAGCATCTTTCTGAGTGTGATTAGATAGTGATTGAAATGATGCACAATCATTACAATCAATGAATATAAAGATTGTGATTAATGATTGAATAAGCTCTTTTAATATTATGATTATCATATCTCCAACAAACAATAAAAAAAAAGCAACTGTTCAACAAAAAAAAAAAATACTATTACCGACAACTTCAAATATATCTGTTTCAACTACTTCAAGTGTTTCTGCTACTTCTTTAGCAATTTTAAATAGTTCTATTGTCTCTTCACCTAATTATAATACTCTTGTTGTTTCTTTTACGGATTTAACAAATTATCACATATTGTTATAACATTATTCTTCTGCACCACTATTTAATCCTTTAGTTTTAAATAGAACTAATAGCGAATATGAAGAAGTATATATTGAATTTTATTTAAATTTGTAATTTTTTTTATAAAAAATTTTTTTAGGTATCTCTTTTAAAGTCATTTGTTAGTAACAATAATCAACCTTCTACTACTATAGTAGTTAAGAAAATTTACAAGTTGTAGATAAAATATCAAGTTTATCCAATGCTAATACTATTTTAGGAATAACATCATCTGAAGATAACAATTGTCAGTTAGTTTTTTGGGGTTTCTTGATATTTTTATGTCATGAAAGTTTCTAGCATGAAGAGTAAAAAAGCAATTTGTTGTGACGGCAAAGATCTATATTGTTAGAAGTATATTTAGTGCAAAGTATAACAATTCAATCGTAAAAAAAAAGATTTGATTATAAAAAAAAAATAATGTTTCAATTATAAAAAAAATTATAGGTTAATCGTAAAAAAATAATGATTTGATCATAAAGTGCTTGAATAATCTCACTCTATAATAAATTTTGGCCAATCAGCGCAGCTTTATAAAGAAAAAAGATGATCACTAACCATTCTTTTTTTTGACTACGGTGATAAACTCTCTTAACCAGCTGAACTAATTTTTATTAATTAAAATTTATAAACCAATCTATTAATTGAGGCACTTGAGAGCACCTTAATACAGTATATAGTTTAGTATAAGAAATACCATGTTTATACAAAGTAAAGTCTATTAAAAGAAAAAATTGAGATTTAATAATTTTATAATTACAAGCCTTTGGTATTGCTCTATCATTTGTATTACTTTAATATTATATTTGTTTAAAAAATTTTATAACTTTACTATAACTCAAAAATTTTAATTCATATTATGTTCATATATGATATATATCACATTCTAATATAGAAATTTCTTCAGGTAACTCACAGATTATCAATTAATTAAGCAAAAAACACTCTCTCTAATGATCACTTGTACCAAATTTTTCCACTGAACAAAAACAAAAATTTTGTTAGAGTAGTTGATACAACTATCAGATAGTTTTTGCAAAGGCTAACTTTTGTTTTGGAAGACTTTTTTGGCATATTTGGCATACAAGCCAAAAGTATTAGAATATAAGATAACTGGCTAGATGCCTTTGTATACAAAATTTTGGTAATAAGAGCCTGAAGGAAAAAAGGTCTTTTTATCAACAAAGTAACCAAGAGGCAACAAAGAAAAGAGAAACAACAAATGAGTTTCTTTAACACACTCCTTGGAAAATTTAAAGTACCTGTATCTGACAAATGTTATATATTTCTTTTACTATATTTCCACGGTTTTGAAATTTTTTTAGAAATTTTGGCCAAAAAGTGGGAAAACTGATATACCCTCTCCAAAAAATTGGCAGTGTTTATTCTTTCCAAATTAGAACGTATCTACTGAAATAGAACCTCCTATAAGCTTATTTGAATTTTGCTTTGCCAAATAAACAATAATAGTGGTATTGTTTACAGTATAAGAGATTAGAGAGATCATGTATAAAAATTTCTTAATATTAGATGTTTTTTTTTTTCTTTTCATTTCTTATTAGTACATATAGTATTAGATTAGATTTTTTTCTATACAACATTATATAATTTTTATAGCCTAACACAGGCAATAATAGTGTTGTCATAGCT